CAGCACTTAATAGATCCTGAGGAACGATGGAGAGCAGGGAAGCCGGCATTCGCAGCTGCGAAAATGTCGAATATTTTATTGTAAATATATTTCGATCGGCATGTGTCGACGGCAGCAGCAGCAGCAGCAGCAGCGCTCCGTATTGTTTCTCCATAGTTGTGTGTTTTTTTCCGCGCGCGACCCGGCATGTAATGCCAGCTATTTGGCGTTTGGCTATTTGGCCGGATAACTTTTACTCGGCTTTCACTCGGCTATGAACGGTCGGTCAGTCGTGCCCTCGGTCATGCGCCAATGACAATCTGTGATTGCACACGGGCGCTATAGCGAGCACCATTAGCGAGTTTCTCGGCAGCGTCGCCACCTATCGGCTGCGCGCGTGCGTGCGTGCGCGCGCGCGCGTGTGTGTGCTGCGGCAGGTTGTATATTTGCGTATTACGAAGCTTCGATGGGCGTAATGAGAGCTGCTGTGCTGGCGACGATGGAACAGTGTTCTGCATGCACTGCCTACCCGCGACGTACGTCGTCGTCAGTGCATGCATTTTATTTACGGTATTTGTTTCTGCGTCTGTCGTCGTCGCGGTAGCGTAGCGACGGCAGCGTCACTCGCGTCGTGACGTCACGTACTTTTATCTCTTTAAGCAGCTCTCGATATTATCATCTCTCTCCCTTGATATTAGCAAGCGGAAATGCGAAGGTCGGCGAGAAACGAATGCGAAACGCATAAATGTCCGACTGACGAAAAACGCACATAAATGCTGTTGTTGATTTCTAAATGACGCGGGGCTCCGGTCACGTGAAGCCATGTGGCAGCTTCACCTCACGTGAAGCCATGTGGCAGCTTCACCTCACATGAAGCCATGTGACAGCTTCGCCGTCGCGCGTTGTCGATCTCCTTTTCTAACTGCTGCGCGTGATTTCGCGTCGCTGTATATCATCCGATGGAAATTATGGGATGTGCTTTGACAGTGACGTATACGTAACGGTGCGTTATCGCATCCCACTGTTCGCTTCACGGTGTTAGCGCAGCGCTGTCGTTAGCCACCGTTTTCTACGCCTCGCATTTTAACTGTATTATGTATTAGATGTGAACACACGGACAGCTTTCTCGGCGTTTAACGAGTGGCAGGTAGGTGCCGCGACAGCCGCGAACGCAAATGCTGACAGACGTCCGTCGCTAGTAAACCTAGGATCACGTTTCGCCCTGTCTGAGCGACCTGGCCGTGTTGCGTATCGGGTGAATACTGTGCCAGTGGTGTGAGCGGCCTTGTCCGTACAACCTGCCATGAACTCTTCCGACAGGTCAGGTGGCAGGCATGGGTGGTCGTGCATCTATGTAGAGTGAGTGGTTCGAGGGCCACTCGGCTTTAGAAACGTTTCGCTGAACGTGCTTTGATATTAAATTTCAGCGCGAATGGACGTGAGACCGGATTCGCAACTGGCGACCTGGGAACTCCTGAAGGAGTGTAGTAGTGTAACTAAAGCCACGCGCATTTTAACATTAAAGGCCTTTCGGGTTAGCGGATAACGTCGTTCATGCAGGATCTTCATATTGTCGTAGTCGTCGTCGTCATCGTCGTCGTCGTCGTCGTCGTCGACCGTTCGCAAAAACGTTCGATGTAATCTGGCTACGGATTCGCGACCCGTCTCTGCGGTCGTGGATGGATTACGTATGGCGAAGCATATTCGAGCAACGCATTGCCGTCTCGCTCTCTTATAATATTCTTCTTGCTATATCGACCGGGAAGATGGAGTGTCTGTGTGTCGCACTCGCGCGGCGTTTTAACCATTATGTTTGTTTAAGATTCAGTCGAATTTGATCTGACCATGAAAGAGACACTGCCTATCATAGATGGCAGTTTTAAATTCCAGTGTTGACTTGAGTCGCCGGTCCCGTTGACACAACTGCGAGATGCATTTCTTAGAAAGGGCATGCGATGTGGAGCGAAGCGTCGACTTGTAATGTCACCATCAATCGTGGATTTCTTTTATTGTAATTCAGCTATAAGCTGATCTTTTTTTTATGTGGGCGTAGATAAGTGTGCACAACTTTTCAGCGTTTACTAATTATGAAATTTATTCGAGCTCGTTTCGTCGTGTTGGGGGGGGGGGGTGCGAGGGACGTGGGATGCTCGTAGTCCGGGAGCTCTAACATCAATAATGTGATACCTTAAGCGGGGGACACACCATGCGAATTTATTCGCACGTCCGCAGCGACTGTAAAATCGCAGCGAAATTTGCATGGTGGGTCCGCTCAAGCGCGGGCGAATTTCATCCGCACCGAAATTCGCAGCGATCAAACATGTTTGATATTTTCGCTGCGTATAATTTCGCATGGTGTGTCCCAGGCAGGTGTGTTACGGACTGGTTTCGACTAGAACTTTCACGTCCTAGTGTTCTACCAGCAGCGGTTCTCGGTTGTCTTGTGTTACGCGCACGCGTGCTTGCGTACACGGGTGTACGCTTATATGAGTGCGTGCGTGCGTGCGTGCGTACGTTCGTGCTGACGTGCGTGCGTGCGTGCGTTCGGGCTGACGTGTGTGCGTGGCGTGCGTGTGTACGTGCGTGCTGGCACAAGGTATTATATGGGTTCAGCCTCACTCGTGAGGTCCCCGTGGGAATGAGGTTTGCCGTAGCACTACGACCGCAGCTCACAAGCACGCGACGCAGCGAGCGTGTCCCGCCTGCGGTGTTTGCTGATCATATTATTATATCCAGTGTTATTCATTGTAACCGCCAGGTTGCGCCTGCGATCTGCGATTCGTCACCACGCCTATTACGTGTGTTATCGCAAACGTGTTCTTCGCTGATTAATTAATCAATTAATCAATTTACGCTCAGTTGCGCATGCGCGGCTGTCGTGTACACCTAGCGGACCGACTATTTCCGCATAAATTGTTTAGCGGGGCAGTGTTGCGAATAATAAACAAATTATTGGTTTCTGTTGATATAATTATTACCGATTGTGAAAATCGTCTGTTGGTATATATATATATATATATATATATATATATATATATATATATATATATATATATATATATATATATATATATATATATATATAGTTGAAAATACTCTCGTACGTATGTAAATCTGTTTGCTTGTGCAGCTATTGTGTGTATACAGTGCAGTACTAAAATACCGGTATTTAAATGTTTCGTGGAACTAGAGTGCAATATACGAATACTAAGGGAACTGTGTTAAATGTCAAGTGTATCATCCGTATTTCCGTGTTTTTTGTGTGAAAGTGTCAAATCAATGCTGACCAAGGTATGGGCTTTACTGCGCGTTATTACCTAATATAACAACCGCTATTGTATTCATGACTGTGTAGTGTATTGGATGTGTAGTTATGCCTTTAATAGACGAAATCTTAATACCATTTACTTCATTCATGGCTGTCTATCGGGGTGTTTCCATGGCAACGTACGCGATGGAAATGTTTATTAATAAAACTATTGCATCTGCATTGATTGAAATTTGACACGAGAGATTCTGCGTCAGGAATAACAGCATAAATGTAATATTTTCTGTTGAGCATTAAAGCATTAATAAAATATATGAAACATCATCGTCTGTTTTTATAGTTTCTTGTATAATATGTATTCTTTTATATACAATCCCACCCTCACCTTTCCTCGCAGATTTCCCGCGCGCTCCCCCTACACAAACGCGCGCGCACACCGACGCATGAGTGGAATACGCGGTATTGCCTAGACCAAACTGTTAAATATCAAAATTCAAAAAGTCCTTATTAATCAATAAAGTTCAATTTTTTTTATTTGTTATACCAGATTTGTGGTTCTGCCGTTCTCAGCGGCCATAAAGAGATATGTCGTTTGTATTTTGCTCAAGTATTTTTTACGTCTACATACTACAGGCTTCGTTTACGTCTACATACTACGGCTTTCCAAAAAACAGATTTCGAAAGAAAAACGCTATGTTTAGGAACTTTTTTACCATACAACATGCAATATTCGACTCATCATAACCTCATAAATAATATGGTCTTTAAAGTAATGGGGACAAGAGATATTCGCATATAGATAACCAACCCATAAACGCCGCGCGTATATACATGATAACAAGAGTACATAATAGGAAACGTGCGTGTGTGCGTGCGTGCGTGCGTGCGTGCGTGTGTGTGTGTGTGCGTGTGTGTGTGTGTGTGTGTGCGTGTGTGTGCGTGTGTGTGTTGTGCGTGCGTGGGTGTATGATTTCAATGGCAACTCAACCCGCTGGCCAGCGGTGGCGCTATCTGTGAATAGTAGTATCTCAATCGGTCCCAGTGGACATATAGTAATCCGCTAGAGGCGCCACCAGCCAATGGCATTAGGAAATGCATGTTAAAATACAAACTGCATGCAGTGACCCTTCCCACGCTCAGGATAATACCAGGAGTGTATCAATATCAATATTGATACACTCCTGATAATACCAGTAGAATTGAGCCTAGCCAGAGCCAGAGCGCCATCTGTCGTGGAGTTTGGTTAAAATATAACTCTTTGGCGCCATCTAGTGTAAAAAATAATTATAAAGTGCGCATATATGGAATAACCCTGATGGATAGATATACCGTTCACCTGATTAACATTGGGTTTCATCATCATGCATTTATGATATTATATTGTGTTTATGCACTGTAAATTTGCATACACCATTTTTTGTCTTACTAGAACGTTTTTCATGAATGAGAGTAACGAAGTACAATGTATTTGCTATAGGCGAGTGTATGTGTCAAAAGTGCCCAAAATTCAATGATATAATATTTCAATGTAATAAATCTGTAGCAAATTAGCAATTGTAAATGATGTTGACATGTATATATTATATTAGATGCTACTGTCTCGCATCAGTAAATAGCATTTACGCTAACCCATAAAACGTGTTTTGTAGTTTTGTATTTAATATTAGTACAGTAGGTTCCATACGTACAGTATTTGTCGCGCGGCGCCACCGTAGCCGTAGCTTAGAGACAGCTTTGTGATGTTAGCAACGCTAGATCAATAATCTGGGAACACAATGGCTTACCACTTTAGCGCAAATCAGGTGCGTAAACTAAAATTAATCATACTTAACCACAAAACAAGTATACTTCATGACATTTTATTCACAGTGACAAAGAAGGAGAGAATCCCAGATAATCAGTGACGCCTACGGATTTTTTTAATATGAGGATTGTAGTTTGTAGGCCTAGACCTAGTTAGTAGGCCTACTTGCACTTTTGACCTCAATCACTGAATCAGTCAATCACTCAAAGCTCAATCCTAGAGAGATCGAGTCTTTAGCAACTAGCGGTAGCAAATCGAATTTTTTGGTCTCTTACAAATAAGCGTGTGCGAGAAAGACGGTTTCTTCCAAACTTCTATTCCAGACTCCAGTCACTAATGCAGCACCCTTAGCTTAGCACCCAAGCTTAGCCTTAGGCTTAGAGTTAGACTTAGAGTTAGAGGAACTGGATTATTGTTGATATGCCATTGCTATACAGAGTCAGACTACAGTACAGTATTGAGTATACTATTACTAATACTATTAGTATTACTATACTATTACTAAGTTCATTAAACCTAATTTGCAATATAATTGTGCCTTTGTGCTTGTGGGACTAATTGGCGTTTTTTTAATTTTTATTTTGTCTGTTCACTGTTGCTCTATGCAATGCCGCAACATCAATAATTGCAAATTGGAAGTACGAAAAGGAATTCAATTCTAAAAGACTGCAAAACTGGGAACTCCCAAAAAATCAGAAGGAGGTACGTATGTGAATCATTTTTAGCGAGAACTTTTGAAGCCCCAATCGGTATGGCAGCAGAGATCAGTGTAGAAGTTCCATGCTCACAAAGTATAATGTGCAAAGTGACACAGTTATCTGCTTGTTGTGATTGACATGCAGTTCTAGACAATAATTTTAGTGATATGACATTCTAAAAGACAATGCTTGGCAACACAGTGCCAGAAAGATTACTTGCGTGCATTAAAAGCATGCATACACTGACTAACATCACAACAATATTCAGAAGAGGCGTGGTTATCTTGCTGACATGGATATCGTATGTCATGGATATCGTATGACATGGATATCGTAAACAGTGTGTAATATAATTAATAATTAATATTAAACAATTAATTAATATTAAACAGTGTTTAAAATATAATTGGACATATGATGCATTATACACACTTGAAACCTTTGGAGGCGCAAGATATTATTCTGGGCTCTCCAAAAGAAGATATAATCTTTAATTTCATATTAACCATTACTAAATATGTTATATATCGCTCAAAGTTAAGCGAAAAGATCCCAACCCTGGCTGCAGTGAAAGGCATCATTTTAGATACATGCATCGAGGCAATATGAAAATACATAGCAGCAACAAATAACAAACTCGACAGATTTTATGGAAAATGGGCATCAGTAATGCACAAACTTTAAATAGCTTATATTCGTAACAGTTTGTAAGTATTTAACATATACAAAAAGGCATTGTTGCCTATATATATTGCCTATTTCTGTTGCTGCATGTTGCAGTAGATATCCCCTGCCAAAAAAAAAAAATTATTGCAAAAATTACTCTGTATAGCTCTCGTCAAATACTAATTATTGTTCATATGTACCAATGTATGCCTATTGTTTGGATTGTTATTGCTTTGGTGGATCTAGAAATAAAAAACATTATAAAAAAAAAAAATATGATGCATTGTCTCGGAGAATAAGTCATGGCACGTGTGCTATTTATATGTTCTTTTCCTATTATTTAGAGGCCAAGAACTCTGCAAGGCTTCACACGGGTTATTGTCAACGATAGAGGTCACCTGCTCTCACATATATCTCAATCGCCTCGTTCACCTTGGGGAGAATTTGTAGGTGAGCATATATATATATATATCATTAGCTCTACCTATGTAAACTCTTCACTCTGCAAGATGATAAGGAACAGAAACTTTGTGGCAGTGTAAGGAACTACCTAAGTAGAGCTAGTCTGCTATTGAATACTATTTTAATGATTAAATGAGTAAATGTAATTAAGCCTTTGCTCATTTTCTCATTAAAATTTGTTTTTGTTTAATTTAATTGTACTCGAAATAAATTACAATTAATACAATCATTTATATAGTAATTCTCAAAATGCTATATAACCTTGCAGTATTAAGTACTTTTTATTATTAATATGCATGATGGGTTATGATGTTGATATTCTCTGTGAATTGCTGATGTAGGGACATGGGATATGCCTGAAAAGGTTCCAGGAACTAGCACAACCAGCACTGCCAGGTCTGAAGCAGCGCAGAAACGGCTGCTAGAAATTAAACATCAGGCAGAGAAGGTTAGATTGTTATGTTGTGAACACACTCACATAACTGTGTTCACCTACCATTATAGCTACTATCGGTCAAAACATTTCACAAAAAATCATGTATAGTTATAAAGTCATGCAGTAATAGCAATGTTTATTCTTGAGGTTATTTACACTGAAGTTATTATTTCTGTTTTGTTTACAGCTACAGAAACCTCAGTCTTTCAAGCACCCAACTCCCGGAAACTAAGGGAACCCCTGTACAGTGCACGTTGTGAAGAAAAATCTACAAAAAAAGTGAACACGCATATATATATATATTTATATACACAAAATTTAAACTGTAATCAATCTACAGAAAATTAAATGACCCAATCATGCTAGTATTACCAGATTCGAATGAAAGCACTGAATTAAACAGTCGACAGAGAAAAACGGTAATGTGCAAGGCCTTTCAGTTGATTGCACCATAACTCCATCATCGATTAGACTATTATTGATCTGCGACTCCGAGCATCCGTGAAGAACGTTTAACACGTACACCTGGTGAAGGTCAGCCGCCGGCTTCGTTAGCATGCAGCTGCTCAGCATCACGTTGTTCGACTTTGTGTTCATCCTCGTCTTGGGCATGATGCGTCACTATGCAGACCATCAGCGTCTGCCCACGCTGCTTATCCAGTTGTTACACGACTATGACAGTGAGACGGCGCTGGTGACTGGGTGGGCGTGCCTGTGCATCGTTGCCGCAGGAGAGAGTATGTCCCTACATGAATTCTTCGCCCTGCTTGTGCTGTACTATGCTTTCTTTGAGGACAAGCTGGTGGTGGTGAGAACGGCTATATCAGTATGACGGGACCTATCCAGATCTTCATTACCATTTGCTTGTGGATAGCAATGAATGTGAATATCTACATCGATCCTCAATAAATGTGGAGTGAGATTCGTGGAAAACCGTGTGAAAGCAAAGGCGTGGCTGGTAATTTTGAAGGCTTATTGGAAATAAGAGCTTTGCTGAGATCATGTGGCTCCTGAAAATTTATTGGGCTAGATTTTAACGAGAAATATACCAATAGGTGTTTATACGTAACTGCAGTCATGCATGTTTACAATTGTTCTATGATTATAATATGTCAAAATTTTAATAAGCTGATCATGTAATACATACAAGCAAATTATAGATTAATATATATGTATCAATCAATCTCTCATCCCTCTCTCCTTTCTGTCTGTCTGTCTCTCTCTCTCCCATATATATATATATATATATATATAATGATATGATCTGAGCACGTGTGATTATATGTCGCGTTATATTATATATGATTTTTTTTAAATCGTGTAAAAAAGTTTCTATAGAATGGGTGCATCACATTTTGAAATTTAACTAGCTAGATAACAGTTATTATGCACTACATCATCAGGCGATATAAATCGGAAGATTTAATTAGTTGAAATAAATGATGACTTGATATAACATTATAACTTGTAAAATTATATGCATGATTGAGAATAAAATGCTATTAATTCTACATAATAAATTTGTTTTAAGATGATCGACCAGCGAAGTCCAGCGAAACGAAGCGAGGGGGAGAAGGGAGCTGGTGGAGGAGGAGGGGGAGAAGGGAGAAGCTGGTGGAGAAGGAGGAGGGGGAGAAGCTGGTGGAGAAGGAAGAAGGGAAGAAGGAGAGGGAGAAGCTGGTAGAGAAGGAGGAGGGGGAGAAGGGAGAAGCTGGTGGAGAAGGAGGAGAAGCTGGTGGAGAAGGAGGAAGCTACGACCAGCTTCTCCCCCTCCTTCTCCCTTCTCCCCCTCCTCCTTCTCCACCAGCTTCTCCCCCTCCTCCTTCTCCACCAGCTTCTCCCTTCTCCCCCTCCTCCTCCACCAGCTCCATTCTCCCCCTCCATCTCCACCAGCTTCTCCCCCTCCTCCTTCTCCACCAGCTTCTCCCTTCTCCCCCTCCTCCTCCACCAGCTCCCTTCTCCCCCTCCTTCTCCACCAGCTCCCTTCTCCCCCTCCTTCTCCCCTTCCTCCTTCTCCACCAGCTTCTCCCCCTCCTCCTTCTCCACCAGCTTCTCCCTTCTCCCCCTCCTCCTCCACCAGCTCCCTTTTCTCCCTCCTTCTCCCCTAGCTTCTCCCCCTCCTCCTTCTCCACCAGCTTCTCCC